GTTCATCAGCAGCCGCTTGTGAGCTTGACTCATCATCAAGGAACAATTAAATAATGAAGTTTTCACCTGTGATTGCTTTGTTATTTAAATAATTTATTAGGAAGGATGGTCAAATGACCATGAAAAAAACCTAAACGCATGTAAATAATATCCACACTGAAGTTTGGAACAATGGGTCAGAAACTTGCGCTGGACCGCAGTCTTTTTACGCAAGAGATGGTGAGTAAAGCAAACAATTTAGGTAATTTAGTTAACTACAAAATTTATTTTGAGGGGGGAAAGAAGGAAAATGATGTCCTTGTCTGGCAGCATTTTCTACCTAAACGCATGTAAATAATATCCACACTGAAGTTTGGAACAATGGGTCAGAAACTTGCGCTGGACCGCAGTCTTTTTACACAAGAGATGGTGAGTAAAGCAAACAATTTAGGTAATTAAATTTTACTACAAACTTTATTTTGAGGGGGGGAATGAGGAAAATGACATTTCCTCATCTGGCAGCATTTTCTCCAAAGCTACCTGTCATCTCGCAGCGCAAACTCCAGCTGCGTTTGGAGCAACAATAGTGACAAACTCCGCGCAATTATTTGTCAACCCTGACAGGAAAGTTATCTGCTCYGGCTCAAATATAGGTGAGCATTTGGCCCTGACCTGTAAAGGACTATGGGCTGTTTTGTTTTGTTTTTCTCCACAASCCGTCAGCGTACTGGAGAACGGTTGGTTGCGTACAGGTTTGGGCCAGATGTGGCACAAAATACAAGATTCTTGTTTTATTTTTTAGGCTGCTTTGTTCGACATGGATGGGATCAGAGTCAAAACRTTTTTTTCAGGTGTCAGGCAGCTTTATGATCAGCCCGATTCAGAGCTGGCACATGTGCGTAAACCCTCTGACTGTTCTCCACCACGGGTTGTGCGCAACATGCCTCATTTAAATTTATTAATTTATTATCAAGAGTTTGTTCTCATTTTTACATCTTTATACTTATGAAGTGTACTGCCTTCTGGAAAATACTACACCAACTTAAGCATCAAGTAGATAAACTCCAGCTTGCGAGCATCATCAGCTGAGCCACCGTCAGCTGAGCGCTGTACAACGAGAGAGAGAGAGAGAGAGAGAGAGAGAGAGAGAGAGAGAGAGAGAGAGAGAAGTCATAACTTGTCAGCGTTGGGTGCAGCCTGTAAACGTCGTGGGACCAGCTAATGGGCAGGGCCTTAAAGTGGGGGAGGGGGGGCAATGGCCCCCTGGCCCCCCCTATTCCGGCGCCAATGGTGTACCTCCAGTGACACCAATATGTTACTCTTCAATAATGACAGACACAGAATGTTATGATGCAACATCTGATTAATGAGAAATGTAATTTTCTTTCTTTTCATTTATTTTAAATAAATATACCACTTTTTGTGCCTGCATATATTACTTTTAACAAAGTACACCACAATGTACCCCATCTGAGATATTGTCTTGTCACATATCAGTCTAAAGAGGTTTGTTTAAGTGGTAATTGTTGCTGTGGGTTTCTGTGTGGCATGGCTTGCCTTTCTGGGGTCACCTCCGAAGACAGCCATGTTCTGCTGGATCCAAAGAAGAGCCGCCTGCTGGTCCAAAATCCCATAGTTTCCTGTAGCTGAGGAGTGAGGATCTTCGCCCGACACAAGGAATCCAAATGCGCCTTCAGTCACGCATCAATTCACGATTAGTGGGACAGAATGAATTCAGGAAAGGCATTCATTTCCTCACTGATCCAAATSACCATTCACTTCTCGCTGGCCATTTTTTCAGTCTTACAGGAATACCATTTAATATGGCATGCACAAATACTTTGTTTTCTGTCTCACACAAGGCCTCTAAGAAAGCACATTATCTTTACAAAATAGTTACACAAAAATCATACCTAGTTTTCTTAAATCAGCTTTGCTGCTAAAGTTCATCTGGTCTTTATCCAAGTCCAAATAATGCAATTTACGTACAATGTGAAGACAGAATCTGCATTATYATTATAATAAATATTTTATTACAGCAGAACAAGGCCACAAAATACAACCAAACTCTCTTACCCAGTCGGTACTCCAGGTTCACCACAACAGTGTTGGTAAAGTTACTGATGAAGCGTTCATCATACATGGGCTTAGAGGCAGTACCGGCTATAAAATCTCCCCCATGGATCCACACCATGATGGGCAGGAGGTGCTGCTGAGGGGAAGTGAGGTTCACACYTAGAGGAACGTAAATGTTGAGGTAAAGACAGTCCTCACTGACCTGTGTGGGAGAAGAGAGAAGGCATTTTAAAATGTTTTCTTCCCTTAAATTGATTGTTTTTCTTTAACCTTGAAGCTTATTATTTATGTGTGATGTCAGACAACAGAGAGTTATGAAGCAGCTTGGGTTTACTGTCAGATACTATCACACCAAATTGTAGCTACAAAAATCTCTAATAAGACTGTATTCTTGCCATTTCTGTGATCGGTAAAGTATCAGTGGTGGCCATATTAAAATACATACAAAAGAACAGAGTTTGTGTTGGAGATTTATGACAGTGAGTCAAAAATTCTCAGGACACCCTTTTTTTCCACAAAGAAAAGGGAAAATTACATATTTGAATACCCCAGCAAATAAAGGGTGAGTGGGCCTATTTCTTTGGCTATGTCCAGAACATGGCCACCATCTTGAAAGCCATCATTATTGCATCAAGGGCAAGTTTTTTCCAAAGATAGGCCCTCCTTACCCATTACTTGYTGGGGTATTMAGCTATGTCCTTATTCCATTTTCTTTCTGAAATAAAAAGGTGACCTGGGACTTTTGACTCACMCTGTACCAAACCAAATTTATCTCAATGTCTCTAAAACTGACTACGTTATCTGTGATTGCTATGGTAGCTGTGGTGGCCATTTTGAATTGGGTTGACCCAAAACAACGATCAGACATAGAAGCACTTCCAGTGTTTGCTTTCTGATGGATTGAATAAAATTCATCAACTTGTACAGAAAATATTTCAAAAATATCAAAGTTTAATMAAATTTGAAGTATTCTTCATTCTAATCTGTTAGGTTTTATTGTTTTTGAATTACGCTGCATTGGTAACTCAATGTTCTCTACTAAAAGTAATGGTATCCCATAGCGGAGCCACTGGTTTAGATGTATAAATTGCATGAGTGCGACTASTCAGGCTGCATTAAAGTAGCTTAAATACAATCTACTGCAATTCAASTGCCGGTACTATTCTTTAGTCAAAGTATATTAGGGTGAATAACAACAAGTGCCAATGAAACATATGGAATCAACGCTTAGAGCACCAAGAAAAGTAACTGAAAAAGGGTATGGGTTTTAAGAGTGGCAGTTCAACAAAGCAGATTTAACCTATCTAGGATACTTTTTTATTGTTATGAAAATCTGAAAACAAAATAGAAAGAGACTATTTCTCCTGCAAAAGAAAAACAGAATTACTAATGCACTCTTTCACAAGCAAAAGCACATTTGATGTCTTACARAAATGTTTTACTTGCTTAACAAAGRAAGTTTAACACATTGTAYTGCACAGTTCATCCACACAAGCTGAAAAATAAGGTAGTTTGTGTGAAGTGAGGCCTGGGTCTCAGTAGAGCATTTGTCTAACAAAGCCCAGACGTTTTGTACAAAGTAAAAATAAAACAAAYATAARAACACATCTGWAAWATATTAGAACYAKTCACTGKGATTTTAGTCTGTGTGGTTTCATCTGTGTGTCAGGAGCACAATTGCTAACATATACAATAAATTTAGWTGTCCACTGATGTCAGATAGTTTACAAAAATTGTAAAAACTGAAATTAAATAAACCATTTAGATTTCAGCATTGGACTTATTTGTAAGACTTCCTTCATTAGTCCTGAACATCTTAAAACAAAAATAGCCAAATGGTGTGGTCAACAGATTTTTAAACTCTTTTATTAACTAAAAAAATAATAATCATAAATCCAAATTTTATTCACAATAGAACATAGTAAAAATGTCAAATGTTTAAACTAAAAAAAACTTTTATTGGACAAGATAAGTTAACTGAATCTTATGGCAGCAACAGATTTTAGAATAATCAGGGCAGGGCAACTAAAGTCAGTTAAAGTAAGTGGTACAAACAGGAAACAGCTGGTGGAGCATTTTGCAACTAATTAGGTTAAATGGCGAAAAGTCAGAAAAAGATCTGGGTCTAAAAGAGGCTTTAYGGAGAGACTGGTACTATTTGCCCTTTCTTATATTTTAATCTAAGCACTAAAAGTGACAGGTGGAACAATAAAGGCTATGAAGACCAGCATGTGATTTGATATGCTGAACAGATGGCATCAATTTACTTACAGAACACACAACTGAATTTTTGTATTTTGAATACCAGGAGTGGGGTTTGAACCCACGCAGACTTTTGTCCATTGGATCTTAAGTCCAACACCTTAACCACTCAGTCATCCTAGTACATAAATTATTTGTACAACAGAGCAAGTGTGTACACAAACTCAGGAGCCAAGGAGAGGGAGAAATACCATACAAGTTAGGCTCTGGATCAATGTGGTTATCCCAACTGGKCTTTCCTAAAAGCAGTCAAGAAACCCAAACAGAATTCCAGCCAGCCATCAGGTGAAAAGGAGGACTCCAAACCCAGACCCAGACCAGTGGTTATTTCATATGTTGCGGGTGTTTCAGAGAAACTGAGATGTTTATTCTCTAAACATGATGTCCTCAGTGGCTTTCAAACCCCAAAACACATTATAGCAAAGATTGGTTCACCCCAAAGATCCAGTCCYTGGCACAAACAGAGYAATGTTGTGTGTGCTGGTAGGTGCCAGGAGGACTGTGTGATACATCGAGGAAACACTGCAAAAGAATGGGCCAACACAGAAGAACTACATCATCAGGCCAGGACTGAAGTTTATACTCATCTACAGGCCAGCGGTCACTCTTTCAGTAAGAAGAAATTCTTATTCTTGAATTCAAAATTTGTTTGAACTATTACTTTGGAATTTCTTTTGGACCCATASAAACTGTAATTCGAGCAATTACATCAAATATATAGCCGTTATGAGTAAAATAGTCATAACAAAATTTTTAAAAGTTGGCATAAGTTTTCTAAAACCTTATAGTGTGACAAGACCTTATGTATTTATATTTATTGACATATTTTAATTAAATCAGGTGCCTTTTAAGGTCTAAGATTTAAACAAAATTTACTACAATTTCAGCTTTCATGTCTTCTTTCAGACATCTTTTCAGCAAGAAAAAAACCCCATCTTGTCTGTTCATGATCAAACACATTGCATCATAAACTGCTGAGAAAATATATTTCTTTGCCTGAAAAGCAGTAATGAATCAATCTAAACGATAAAATATCCTCCTCATGAGATATTTTGCTAATTTTATTATTGAACACAGGCAAAAACACAATGAACAAATTAGATAAAAACAGACTTCGCTCAAAGCAACAGTAAGAAAGTCATAGTGTTTCTTACCATTTTGGGACACTCTTCAGGATTCAGTCCRTGGCAGGCCTGCATGCATGCCGCTCGAGGGAAAGAGGCATCGTAAACCCCCGTCCAAGGCCTCACAGGTCTCGGGGGTTTCCAGCGGTACGCCCCAATGGGGGGCTCAGCGTACGCTACCCCGTAAAACACATGAGCCTCATCCACGGTGATACCTTTGATCGGGCCGTTTTTGGTGAGCACCACTGGTCCAGGAGTCAGTTCTGGAACTGGTGTCTCCTTAGGTCTGACTCTGATATCCACTGGACGCCTCARCTCCTTCAGGGAAATATTTTGTAGGAAGCGGACAAGGTTGATTCCTTCTCCAGAAGAAAGCACCAAAGTGATCACGCTCAGCAGCAGCCAACACTGACGGCTCTCCATGTTGTTGCTCTGATACCTCCAGCTGCTTACATCAGGATCTGACTTCAGTTATAAACAGCCTGAAGCCCTAAGCTCTTCATAGACCAGGCATGACTCCAATCTTATCGGTTTGACTGGCTGACTGCTGACCCTGAGAAGTCGAACAGAGACAGTGATTGCACGACCACTAATAGAGGACAAGTCGTCTCTTCTTTGCTCAATAACAGATAATCACAGTCACGCACTCAAGTTAAATGGGTACATACAGACTGCATGGGAAGAAAAGGGTTTGGACCTTATTTAGTATTTCTTGAAGAAATGCATGTCACCCAGAAGAGAGACCAAACTTTAGCCATGAACAAACCTTATGAATACCATTGTAATCTCAAGTGATATTATGGGACAGCTGTGGTACAGTGGTAGGGCAGCCAATTGGGACAAAAAAGTCACAGGTTCAATTCCCTGCCATTCCCACATGTTGTGGTATCCTTGAACAAGACGCCCAACCCCCAACTGCTACCTGGGTGTTCAAATGGCTGCCTGCTGCTCCAGGTTATGTGTTTCTCATGTATGATGGGTCAAATGCACACAAATCTCATATTTATATCGGAACATGCATGCATTGATGACAAATAAAGTACAATGCATTTTATTTTTTATTATGATTCTGAAATTGGTGGACCAAATGATAAGGTTTTAGATGTACGTTCATTGATTTTTTTTTCTTAGAGTTTCGTTGAAACCTGTTCTGTAGTCATGATATATTTTGCTTGTAAACTTAATGCCAAAAATTTTAGCAAAGATGTCCCACAATGTTTAGTACTCACACTACTTGTTGGGGGTGATTGTCATCCATTACAATGCTAAATTTTAGCTCAAGATCTATACATTTGCCTGAGTTAAAAAATATTTCAGTTGGCTATGACGGCCATCTTGAAGTGGATTGACTCCAAAACTTAATCAGATGTACATTAGTGATTATTTCATGAAAAGTTTATTCAAATCTATCCAGTGGTTAGGGAGATTTTTGCTAACAAACAAACAAACAAACAAACAAACAAAAGAAAAAGAAAAAAACCCTTGGACTAAGTTCAGCTATATCCACCTAGATTTTGGCAGAATGTAACATCCACTGAATATTTTCTGAAGTTTTATTAAAATGCATCCAGTAGTTCATGAGATATTATGGTAACTGGCAGACACTGACATTTGATTTTTGGTTAAATAAAAATTGCAGGCAGGTTAACATCGCCATCTACTGGCTTTCTGTGGAAACACACTCACCAGTCAATCCTGAAAGGTCATGATTGGGTCACCTATCACAAAAAAACAGCAGCTACCTTTCAGCTGAATAATTAGCATTTTCTTATATTTACAAATAAAAAAGTAAAGATTTAAACATTGATAAACACAACTACAACTTTTGGCATCAACACTGTCTCTGTTAAAAAAAATATTTCAAGAACCACTGGATAATTTTCTCAGAAAGTAATTGTTGAACATTAAAAAGCTCAGTATTTAGAGATAACTCCATTCAAGATGCCACCACAGCYCTCAACATTAGCCAACACAAAAATGTCTCAGTCAATTTTACAGACTTAAAATGTTATATGGCACTATTCATAACACATAATCGTTGCCCAACATCTTTGGCATTAACTGCTAACTCATTCAGCAAATGACTGTTAGCAAAATATCTTATGAACCACAAAATAGATTTTAGTGAAACCTTCACAAAATAACCTGAAGCCAAGCCAATTAAAGATGGCTGCCACAGCCAACGCAACTTGGAAAATACAAAACTGTATTTTCTGGATTTTAGCTGTATTTTTTGTAAATTTTACAGATACTGGGCTAAAATTTGTTGCGGTGGTAGCTGAGAGTTATTAACAACACACAGTTTGAGCACTATCTGAGATCTCACTCGCCATTTATGATAGATAGATAGATAGATAGATAGATAGATAGATAGATAGATAGATAGATAGATAGATAGATAGATAGTCTTCTTTTAAAGCTATTTTTATAGTTTTATCAACCCATTTAATCCATAAAGACACAAAGTAACTGTATTTGTGTATAACTACACATTTTCTCCTCCTACATCTTAATGAACTCAGGAAGCGTGAGCAGGTGAAACACACCTGTCTTTAATAAGCAGGCTGTCACTCCCTGCCTGCTCTTCAATCTGAAAAAAAAAACACATCCAACATTCTTTGTCTTAAATATTTTTTGTACAAAAAGAAAAGCATGTAAGACTTTTTTACAAGTAGTTTGTAAACAGCATATTTTACACTAGTTCAATAATTAACCAACTTTTTTTTAAATATATTTTCAGGACCTCTTTAGAATACTCGTTTGTTTTTTTCATACTGGTGCCTCATTCKTTTGGTGAGTAAAATGAACCCGAGCAGCTCGAGACAACGACAGAAGTTTAAATCGTATTATTTTACATTTGTTTTTTATTTTTATTCGCAGGACGGTGCTTCGACATGTCCTTTTCAGTTTGTTGGGTGGGCAAAGAGGACGCTTTGATTAGGTAAGCAGTGAAGGTATATCTTTTAGGTAAATAAAAAGTTTAGTCCTGCAGTGGTGCGTTCACGCCAAACCCGTTTTGAGTGTCCAAAATCGCGTCCAACGCTGAGTTGGACACTTAAAAAGGCTACCGAACCCTCAAGACGCGCTAGACGCATTGATATATATCTCTAAGCTACTATATATCAATATATAAATTTATAGCTTGACGCGCGTCCTCCGTAGACTTTGCATGTAAACCTGAAGCTCAAAACGCGTTTGTTGTGAACGCACCATAAATGTTTTGTGACGCAGTGAAATTCTTCTAAAATGCCTCGAGAGCTCCGAATTTCATGTCACGAGCCTAATTTATAGCTTAAATGTAAACCGAACCCCCCTCGGAATCCATAAAATAAGCACAATAATAATGTGGTCAAGCTTGGTGGAGGAAGTGAAAAGAGATTCTTACCTGTTCAAATAAGACGTCCACAAAAATGGCATTTCATAAAGTCTGCTTTTTCAGTTTAATCTGTGACCTAATCCGTACTTCCTGGTCTTATTTTGGGTTTCAAAATGTTACTTTTGCAACAGTTCCCTTTTTGTATTGTGGATCATCATCATTGCTTACTGACAGCTTCGTTTATTTTTTGTAAATTCAAACTTTTTGAATGGGAATTAATGCAGGCTGTCAATGTTTAGAAGCCCCACCCCAAATGGTATAATCATACACACCCACTATTTATTTTGCCCATGTGTTTTTCTGTGCATGTGTTCATTCATGGCAGTCAGCAGAATACCTCATTAATAGATGAACAAATAATCTTTCAGGAAATGGTCTCCAAACATGTAAGGTCCCCCAGCTTTGGAAACACTCTGTTATTGTTCCAAAGACAAAAACTGCTCAGTCTGAATGATTTCAGGCCTGTTGGCCTCACTTCCCTTGTAATGAAGTCATTTGAAAAACTTGTTAGAGAAGTGCTTTTGTCTGAAGTTAAGAAACATTTGGACCCACTTCAGTTAGCATATCGGGCATGCAGAGGGGTGGAGGACGCAACAGGAACTCTTTTAAATATGATTTTAAAACATTTAGAAGGCCCAAAAACTTTTGCAAGACTGCTTTTTATTGATTTTTCTTCTGCTTTTAACTGTATCCAACCCCACATTTTAACAGAGAAACCAAAATGTTCTTAACGGTCTGGATCCAGGTCTTATTTGTTGGCTTGTGGACTTTTTAACTGCTCGACCCCAGCATGTGAGGGTCAATGGGGTTCTCTCTGATGTCCTTCTGTCTTCTAAGGGCTCCCCTCAAGGCTGCGTTCTTTCACCTCTTTTATTTATTTTGTATACAAATGACTGTCGCAGCCAGATCGTTACATTTTAAAGTTTGTTTATGTTTCTGTCATCCTGTCTCTTCTCAGCAGTGATGACCCTGACCATGGGCCGGTGGTCAGAGACTTCACTGAATGGTGGCAATCTTCTTTTTTACAGCTAAATGTCTCAAAGACTAAGGAGATGGTCATTAATTTTAGAAAAGACTCTTTGGTTGTCACTCCTGTGATTATTAATGGTGAAGTATTAATGGTGAAGCTGTGGAGGTGGTACACCATTATAAATACCTTGGAACTGTTCTGGATGACAAACTGAACTTTGATGCCCACGTGAACTCAGTTTGTAAGAAGGCCCATCAGAGGATGTATTTTTATCGGAAGCTCTGTGGTTTTAATGTCGATTCTACTTTCATGAGAATGTTTTATTCGTGTTTTATTGAGTCTCTTTTAACCTTTACTTGTTATCTGTTGGTATGGCATTTTAAGCTGTAAGAACAAAAACAAACTCTTGGGGATTGTTAAGATGTGCAACAGAATTGCTGGAATTGACCTGCAAAATCTCACTGACCTACACAAGGTCAGGTCAGTGAAAAAGGCCAGACTGATTCTAGCAGATACCAGTTGACCAAATGTAGGACAAACAGATTTAAAAACTCATTTATCCCAGCACACTGCAAAAACTGTCCATCTTACCAAGTTTTAAAATCTTATATCAGCCAAAAAGTCTTTTTGATCTTATTTTGAGGCTGATTTACTAAACAAGAACTGATTGTGTAAGAATAATAATCTTGTTTTCAGAATGTGTAAGATTATTTGTCTTGTTAGCATGAAAATTTGACTCAAATTAAGTCAAAAATGTCTGCCAATGGAGTAAGAAAGTATTACTTGGTAAGATTCTAGAAATCAGAAAAAATTGAGTCAAATCAAGTGTTTCAAGAATCTTACCAAGTAAAATTTTCTTACTCCATTGACAGAAATTTTTGACTTAATTTGAGTCAAATTTTCAGGCTAACAAGGCAAATAATCTTACACATTCTGAAAACAAGATTATTATTCTTACACAATCAGTTCTTGTTTAGTAAATCNATCTTACACATTCTGAAAACAAGATTATTATTCTTACACAATCAGTTCTTGTTTAGTAAATCAGTCTCAAAACAAGATCAAAAAGACTTTTTGGCTGGATATAAGATTTTAAAACTTGGTAAGATGGACATTTTTTGCAGTGCAGCTGTTAAATTCCTTAATACTTACTTACTTGTGATTTTTTGTGTATGAATGTTTTTGTTTAGTTTTTACGTCTATTGGCTTTACAACAAATTGCCCCTCGGGGATAATGAAGATACTTGAACTTGTCCTCAGATGGGGTAAGCCCATTCAAGTTTGCCAATGGCAACTTTAGAAAACACACATTTATACCTCAGCCAGTTTTACAGTAAATCAGCTACAACTTGGTGTATTCCCAACTCAGTTTTTACACTTTACTAATAACTTTTAGAGTCTGTTCTATCTGCCTGTTATAAATCTCTCATGAACCACTGGAAATAATAATGTCACCACAGTTTAACATGGCCACCACATCCAACTGATCACCCTTTAAGAAAAGGTGTATTAAACCAGTGGTTCCCAAACTTTTTATCTTCTGACCCACAACATATCCATGGCAAAAACTTGTGACCCCAAATATTACTGGTCTGAGTACATGAACTTCGTTAATAACCCTAAAAACACAGGCTTTTTGAATATAAACACTTATTTTTACTTATTTTGTGTTTTTGTAATAATTATAGGGAAAATATTACATCAGCAATTATTTTATTACCCTTGAAATTGATTTCTGGAGATTATCCAAGGTGCTTCATGACCCATAATTGGGTCCCAAGCCCAACTTTGGGAACCAAAGTGCAGTGGTTCCCAAACTTTTTAGCTTTTGACCCAAAAAAATAGTACAAAACAATAGCAGAGACCTGTGCCCACAACTATTTTTGGTTGATAAACATTTGTATCAGGTCAACAAAACATGGGCATAGTAACAATATTTTTATACTACATTTATCCATTTTAAATATACTAACCTCAATCATTTGTAAGGCAAAAATTTAATTAATTCAGAAAATCTTTTCAGGACCCCACCTTGATGTTTCTGGACCCCACTTTGGGTCCCGACCCCAACTTTGGGAAACACTATATTAAACCATCAACATTGATAAAACGTCTCCCCTTTGTTCAAAATTTCAGCTAGTAGTCCTCTGTCTTATAGAGTAACTGAGCATTGTCTGAGACTGTTTTTTTTTCCTTTCCTTTCTTTCAGACCAAATGAAAACTTGTGGCTCAACGGCACATCGATAAAATCCATCATTAAAGCGGGCAGCGTTGTCTCTCTAACCGTGTCTCCAGTTGTAGAAAACAGGCTCACACTTCACCACGATGGCTTGATTCAGAGGTGGACGTTTTCTATCAGCCCTCGTAAGGATCATCACATTAATCTATGTTGGGTAACTGTGACCTCTAAAGACCTTCAAGCAAAAAAAAAAATCATCTCTTTCTAAGGTACCAAAAGGATAAAAATTACAGGTCGACAGAAACCTTCAGAGCTTCAAACAAACGCAACTAAGGTACTGCTAAGAGAGACTGTTTTTATTTCCTTTCAGCTGTGGTAAAATATGAATTTTATGTTGCTGCAGAGTTTATGATCTGATTGTGTTTCAGAGCTTAATGAAGCTGTTAAATCCCACTGAAGTGTTCGCCTGTGAAGGTGGCACAACGTTCCTCCATCAGGATGAAAACTTCTTCCTTGCTGTTGGTGAAAATCAGTTCCTCTTTTATTAATACTTTAGAGTACAAAACTGGGTTAGGGTTGTAATGTGAATAAAGGGTCAGTTCAACAAATCTGTCTGAAAATTTCACCTTTTTTTAAAGTCTAGTTTGTTTTTGTAAGTATATACTATCAGCTTCAGAGAACAGTCTCTGTTGGGTTGCTTAAAATTTGAGTAAATTAGTTCATTGTTTGGATGAATGGTTATGGTCGACACAGCATGTGTCCAACTCAAGGCCAGTGGGCCAAATGTGGCCTGCAAGAGCTTCAAAGATGTGTTAATGTTTTAAAATATGCTACTTTAAAGTCAGCAGTGACAATATTCTACATTTCCTATAATGCATGTTGATAACTTTACACATGAAAGGATGACATCCCACCACTAGGTGAAGGTGGACAGGATACACTACTAGCCAGCAGCCAGTGAAATTCATCATGTAAATTCTCCATCTCACTGCAAGTTTACTGGCTAATTTTGCTGCAGCTTAGTTGTACTGGGAAGTGGGAATTTCCCACTTCCAAGTTGTAAATTTAAACTAGGGCTGTGTCTCAAATCATGGGCTGCTTCTTCATGAGTGCGCATTTGTCAGCCGCGTACGTCACTGCCCATTGGCGAGGACTGTCCTAATTCGAAGCCGCCTCCTCATGCGGCTCACAAAATCTCAAATCAAGGATGCACCCAAGTGCCCTTCCTGGCTGAGGATATCCCAGGATTCAATGCGCCGACGGCAAATTAAACAGAGAAATTAAGACGGCAGAGGTTTTTTTTTTTTACCAAGTCGGCGTAGCTTGGAAATTTATTAAGAACCAAAGAATTTGTTTTTAAATGTAAGTTTAGCAACTTAGCTGAAATTCAAACTGCAATAAGATATCAAAATGCAACTACAAGTAGTTAATGGAGCTAAACTCAAATTGTTTTATTTTTTATGTACGTGTAACACTTTAGTTGTGAAGTTATTCTTCCAGTGAAAAGATGAGTGAATACTCGTTTCAACGTATTTTAAGTTTGAAATTAAACCAATCGCTATGGTAATGGGGTAGTGCGTGGTCACACAAACATAAGTGAAGTCTAGACCGTTTCATGTGTTCTACTCATGAGGATGCAGCCCATGAATTGAGACACAGCCTAGAACGCTCCCTCCCGTGGGAATTCCCTGATGGAAAGTGGGAGAGTTCAGAATTCTAGACGACAGCTACTCACCACATCTCAACAGTGAGTAAAACAAGTTTTACTTTTAATAGTATTTCTGTATTATTTTTCACATGTAGTCAGTCATACACATAGTACTTTTCAGTGTTTATAAGAGGACATATTTAAAACACTGTCTATGAAGGAAGTACCACATAGAGCTCAGTTATTAATTGTTAGAGGTGCTCATCCATAGCAGTGAAACGAGGAATGTAACGTTTTGTCTTTTTAGTCAAAGTTAAATGAAATGTTGAAGTTAATTACAACTGGCCCTTTGAGGGCCACCAAAATTCTCATGTGGCCCTCTGTGATAATGACTTTGACACCCCTGGTCTACAGTGAATTATCTGTCCACCTGAGCTTTTAAATGAGTAAGTTATTTTTTCCTCCTCAGGGCACACTTTTCATTTTCCTGTCAAACTGGAGTCCAGGAGCCCCTCCTCCCTGCTGGTGTCTTGGGTGGAGAGTAATCTGGATTACCTCGACTTTCACACAGTGACCCTGTTCTACAGAGAACTGGGATCCTACAGCCAAGTCTTTGTGGATAGTACCACCCTGAACCACCACCGCTTCACTGCTCTGGACGCCTGCAGCCACTATGTGGTTTGTGTTGAGATTGCAGGCACTCGCTCCTTCACCTGCCTCTCCACCATTACTGGTATGAAAATAGAAACTCACACATAAAACTGATGTTTAACCAGGAGACCAATGAAGACGATTGATGATGTCTTTATTGTCGTACAGAGCACAATGAAATTACATTTAAGAACACCCATTCAAGAGATACACATGACAAACATGGAACAGGTGAACAGGTCATGCGGCAACCAGCATGGGTCATGGCTACCTTTTAAAAAGAAAAGCAAAAATACCACACAAGGGTAAATGAGGGGAAAAAACAAAACATATCAACGAAATGTGATTACACTAGGGTGTTTATAGAAAAAACACCTCTGCAGAGCAAGAATTTATTAGCCAATTTATTATTAGCCAAGAATTCATTTATTATTGCTGTGGTAGAGTGGTTAGGGGAGTCATCTTGGAACCGGAAGGTCACCGGTTCGATCCCCGTCCAGTCGACTCAGTCGTTGTGTCCTTGGGCAAGACACCTTACCCGCCTTGCCTACTGATGGTGGTCAGAGGGTCCGGTGGAGCCTGTGTATGGCAGCCTTGCCTCTGTCAGTGCGCCCCAGAGCAGCTGTGGCTACAATTGTAGTTTGCCATCATCAGTGTGTGAATGTGTGTGTGTGTGCATGGGTGAATGTCTGCAGTGTAAAGCGCTTTGAGTGTCCTGGATGGATAGAAAGGCGTTGTGTAAGTACAGTCCATTTACCATTTTACCAGTCCATTTAGCCAGAGGAGTAAGGGGGTTTAGAGGGCGTGTATCTGAAGCCATGAATGTTGTATGCGCTTGTGTGAATATCTGAAGAATGAGACGGAAGAATCCAGCCTCCCAAAAGAACAGCCCATAGTTCAGCCAAAGTTCAGAATAATGATGTTGAATTGTTCATTCTGTGCAGCTCCAGATTGACATTCAGGGGATCAGATTACAGATGGAAGTGCGAGGGGGAAGGGTCAGGATCAAACCAAGTCGACGTAAAAAAAACAGGAGAAATTAGATCCACAGCCCTTCAAGGCCATGTAGGAGAGAGCCAATTCATAATCAGTTGTTTGGGAACAGAAGAAATGTTTTTGGTCAGGCAGACGATCACAATTTTCCATCTGCCTTAATGTCTGCTGGTACATCCCAATGTGGCAAATCCAATCAAATAGTGTGGACATTCTGCCGAGCTCACAGGTTCTCCAAGATCAATTCCATCTGGCCAGCAAAGTCCAGGAACCGCAGTCAGACCGCGACTCTCAGCAGAACCGTTTGCATACCGAGTCCCAGCTCGCTCAAGGCAAAAGTCTGAGTGCTGAAAGCACGGCATTCCTTCATATTGGTCAGGCAGCCAGGAAAATGGCCTGAATAGCCATTGATGCTGTTTTGCAGAACACCAGGAGACCACCAAGCCAATCTGTAGAATCCAGTGATCAGAAACTAAATTTCTATCCAGAACAGAGCAGAACAGAGGTCCCACCTTTGATATGTCCTCCCATGGAAAAAAATTTGTTCCAAAAATTTATAAAGAGACCAGCTAACCAAATCCATAAAAATAAATCCATAATTTTGGTTTCGGATGAAAACATAGAGGAGGCTCTGAGCAGCAAAGCAGGGAAAGATAAGGGAAGGCAGGAGAGAGGGAAAAAGCATCTTACTCCTCCGAGAGCAGGGAGAAAAAAAGTGGAGTTTTCTTTAGCCAACTTAAAAAATTGAGATTTTCAAAGGACAGTAAATATCTAGCAGGGATATCTAGTACCATTTGATTTATTTATTCATGTTTTTAAATGTCTTTACAATGAAAAACAGCAGTTTGAAATTTTATTTGTACTGAAGTTAAGAAATATAAGTAGACATGTATTTCTATTATGTTATCTCAAAACATTGATTTATCTCATCTCGGTAAGGGAGCTCGGTATGTTAAAGGGTTGTATTTATTTTTTATTCAGAAACTTATGTTTTTATAAATAAGTTTTTTTTCAAAATTATTAATAAAAATCTTCAATAGTATCATTACTCCTAGAGCAAAATGATTGCACAAGATTTGTTTAAAATATAGCTAAACATAGCTACTAAAAACCAACAGGAGAACACACTACTAGCCAAATGCTAATGGGACAAAACACCGTTTAAAATTTAATAGGACAACACAGCTAGCTAAAAGCTATGATGACAAAACACTAAAGCTAAAATAACCATGATTTTAGCTAGAAGCTAAAAGTAGCATATGAAGACTAAAAATTATTGAAAAACTCATTTTAATCTGCTTCAGCATCCCTGCTCTATTTTAGAGACCTTAACATGTTTATTTGAGAAAATTTTCATTTTCTTAACTGATTTATTTAGTTTTATATTATCACTACAGTTTAAAAATGCCTGAATGTTGCAATTTTTGTTTTAACCCAAACTTAGACCCAGAAATTCCCAAACATTTTGAAGTGACCTCGTGGAACAGCAGCAGCATCACACTGTCCTGGGACTGTCCTGAGAACCTGAAGTACTCCCTCTTCTTCCTCACCATCTTCTACCTGAACGGTACGGGTCAAACGATAGAGGAGGCTGAGATGTGGCTCACGGACGACCGCCTCACCTTCACCTTGTCTGACCTGCCGCCCTGCATCAGGCTGGAATTTGGCCTGCAGACGGTCTGCCAGGCAGGACTGGAGTCCCGTTACAGCAGGATGGTCCTGAGTGATGGAAACTCTGGTAGGTCCTGCTTTTTGTGCACAAAGCTCTATAAGATGTTCAAAGTTTGGGATAACTCATATCCTAAACCTGCTTTAAACCTTCTCACAATTTTAACCCTGACCTGGCTGGTGTGTTTTGAGTCATGGTGGGTAAGAAAAGTGACCACTGTCTCTGCTTAACTTAAAAAGAAAACGTGGTCACAAGTCACGACACGCAATAAAGAAATATTCTTGTTTAGTTAAACAGGGCATAAAAATTTTTTTACAGCAACTTCTGTAGTACAAGCTAAAAACTTTTTTTTCTTGTATCAGATTACTCCAACATTTACTCCCTGCATCAGTCATCGTTTGGGCCCAGCAGCTACACTCTGAGCTGGGAGGTGAAGAACACCTCGTCCATCTCAATGTTCAGAGTTTACCACCAGGGGGTCCTGCAGGGCACTACACTCCTCACCAAATACTCTGTGGGTGGACTTCTGCCATGTCAGAAGTACCAGGCAAAGGTGGAGGCACTGTGTGGGGAAAAGGTGCTCATGAGTGTCAAGGAAGTCACCACACACACAGGTAAACACAAGCTGAGGACACAGCAAGCCCATAAAATACTCTACTGCTGATTTTAAAGCAAATTCAGAAGTGTTATTTTACAGGATGTAAAATAACGCATAAAATTACCAGAGGTAAGATACTTTAGACGGATACTTTACCTTACTTACGAAGAAATTAATTATAGAGGCTGTATCCAAATTCAGGTGCTGGGTCTTTCGAAGGACCCGGCCTATCTAGTCTAGCAAAGACCAGAAAAAAGGGGCTGTGAGTTTGGACAGTCTAGCGTTCTGCTTTGTTCCCGCCCTTACCCCGTATCTCCAGTTAATAGTAGACATAATTTTCAAGGTCTCAACCAAAACATATGACAGATTAGTCTAAAACTGTGCCATGAAAGGCAGTGAACAACTTTCATCCCTACAAAAAATGCTGTCTTTAATTTATATCTTGGTGGATTTTAAGGTCTGAACTGATCATGTTTTTTGATTCAGTATCTCATCTTGTGTATTAAGGACCTCGCGGTGTGTCTGAGCTCTGGTACCGCTCCAATGACTCCACTGCTGTGTGGAGACCCAGCGTCCCTAATCAGCCGGCTGTGGCCTACATTTACGAGCTGTCCCAGGAGAACGGCTTGACAATCGAGAGCAGCCGTGTGTCCAACACGGAGCTGCCTCTTCCAGGGCTGGTACCTGGCAAATCCTACATCCTGAATGTGTGGGAGGAATGTGATGGGCAGTGGGAGTCTCTGCCAATTCAGCTGAGTTTTGAAGGAGCCAACTCTTCTTTTGAGATCCAAGTGAGAGCTGTGGAGCCTCCTCAGAACCTAGGTGAGTCTGAGACACTTTGGACCAGTTTTGAATGGTTTCCTTTGGGATAAATCTTAAGATGATTTTGTTTTGTGGACTCTGCAGAGCTACAGTTAGACTTCGACAATGTAGGTCTGACCATGGTTGTGCCCTGGTCTCTGCCTGAAGATCTACAGGATGACTTATCAGAATCCAGAATTAAAGTGAAGCAGGTTTTTCAAAATGAGGTAATGAAAAAGTTCATGCTGTTCATTCATCACATGATGAATAGATTTGATCCAGGTTGAAGTGTCCATAGTTTGCTGTCATAAAGATAGTTTACTTGCTGAGTCAGGTAAAGATATGAACTCACCGTTTGTCTAATGAAGTTAAAATTTGGTGTGGTAGTCCCTGAGAGTCATCTAGTAATGACTTTGTTTCATCCATTTGAGTTAAGCCTGTGTTCCTGTTGAAGTGAGACCTGTGTGTGTGACCTTTCAGCTGCAGGAGCTGTTGAAGGACTTCGATCAGCCTGTCCACATTGAGCTGGACTCCTTTAAACCTACAGCTGAGCCAGGAAAAACTGAGGTTCTGTTTCGGTCTTTTGATGCCAAAAGCAAAGAAGACATTCTGCCGATTGATGATCAGCTCGTTTATATCAATTCACTGAATTCCCCCAACATCAATGTAAGGAACGGCGTCATATACTGGGAAGGTAAGTAGTGGGGAGCAGCTCGTCAAACATCAAACATTTTTTTAGTCCATACCTTTGTTGGTGTAAATATTGTTGGGTTTATTTGTTTTAAGTGCTTTCTGTTTTTGCCTTAGGTCCAGACATGTGTTCCAAGCAATCTTTATGTTCTCCTGATTCTCTGTGCGTTAGCACTCTGGAATCATACGTGTGCGTCTGCCATCGTGGTCACTATGATGTAAGCGCTTTCGTAGATTCTGCTGCAGCGCCACGTCCACTCTGCAGAGGTACATTAATACACGATACTGTGGGAAGAAAAGTGCAAAAGTTGTTTTTTCTGCAAAAAATGTCATGTGAATGCTGGAATTTACTGACGAAGCTGAAACAGGGGTTTTAAAGCTAAAAGAACACTAGTTAAGAGCTAAAACTATAACAAACCTAGCTAAAAATTTAAAGTACCAAAATGGTAGATGAAAGTTAAATAAAGAGAAAAAGGTCAGCTAATATGGCAAAATGTTTGCTAAAAGTAGAAGTCGACTTTAAAAAATAGCATGTGTAGCTAAAAATAAAAAAAAAGCAAAAATCTAGCTAGAAAAAAATCTAGTCATAAGCCAAACTCTGGTAAAAGCTAAAAGATGCACAAATATTGCTCAAATTAGCAATGGGTAAAATAATAATAAAAAAAACAGTAGGTGTGCTAAAGGCAAAAAGGGCAAACAGGGTTTTTTAATGAATTGAAAAGATCTCTACCGATTTCTGTGGAAAAATATTTATAAATGGAGTTAAATATATTTATTTTCTGGATGAGCTGAATGTTTTTATATATAAAGGGCTAAAATAGCACAAAGTGGTTACTGCCAAAAAATACTGTGGCAAAAAAATCAGGGATCCAATCATGTGTAGAATGACTCTGCAGTCACTCCAAAAATCTACCCCTTATTTTAAAACAGATAAAGGTCTTTTCAACCAGTGTCTGGACAAGGTGATGACTGGTGGGATAGCCAAGTCTTATGTGACCTCTCTCTTCGGGGGAAGTGTTGAGGTGAAGCTGAATGATGGCCAGTGTTCTGTGAATGAAAGTGAGCTGCTGTATTACTTCTCCACGTCACAACATCCATCAGTGTGTGGAGCAGAGTATGAGGTAAGGACCAGTTCTCGCAGGTCACATGTTCTGTTGGCGCAGGAAATGTCCACTTTCTGAATCGAAAATCTGTAAAATATGTTGCTAAATGTATTTGTGTGTGTTCTAGGTGAACAACACACACATTTTAGTTCAAAATACCCTGACAGTCAGTCTGACTAAAGAGCACACAATCACTCGACGGGACCTAAAAATTGTTTGGAAGTGCATCTACCCACGACATTATGTTCGTAATGCTCAGGTTTTTGCTAACATGGAATGGTGAGACACAAGCTCTACGTTTGTAAAAGCCTTAATAAATATAATTTTTTAAAATTAAAACGTATGTATAAACATGTATCAGAAAAAAATCATCTTTGTTTTGCAGGCTCTCTTCTTTAACCATGGTGGAGTTGAACTCCTCACTGCAGCTGGGTCTGATCATGACCCTGTTCAGGGATGAGTCCTACATCTCCAGTTACTCAGATGTGGTCGAGCTGGGATTTGAGGACACCCTGTTCTTCCAGGTGGCCCTGCAGACCAACGGCTCCTTTGCCTCAGATGTTCTGCTGCAGGTGGTGTCCTGCTGGGCCACTGAAAGCCCTGACCCAGAAGATACCATCCAGGCTACATTTCTTCAAGAAGGGTATTTTAAAAATGTGAACCTGATCAGCAGATTAGTGTGATGTCAGCAAAAAGTGCCTTGAAAAATGCCCCCACATTTTTTCACATTATAACCATAAACTTCAATTATTTATTGGGATTTTATTTGATAAACCAACACAAAGAAGCACTTAATTTTTACATGGAATGACTAACTAAAATCAAGTGCAACCAATTGCCTTCAGAAGTCACCAAATTAGGAACTAGTCTATCAGTGGGTAACTTAATCTCAGTACTAATAATTATGCCATGAGTCAATAAGTCACAGGGCACCCTTTTATTTCACAGACGAAAGGGAAAATGAAATATCTAAATACCTAAGCAAGTAATGGGTGAGGGGGGCCTATTATTTAGGCTATGTCAGAAACATAGCTGCCATCTTTAAAGCTGCTTGGATTGAAGTCAAAATTTTCTAATGGAAATGTTATGCAGCATATCAGAAGGTCAGAATTAGATGCTCGATTATTCTTGGGGTTCTGAAATTATAAACACAAAGTGCAAACCTTTGTTATTCATCACAGGTGTTTGTGTTCAGCACACTGAGCATGTTAAATAGCTGTGCAACACAGGCTGTTCCCAGTTGTTATTGAAACTTTGTGTTTAACTTTTGAACAAGAGTTATTGCAGATCTGATTGTGGCAATCCATTTCTGAAACAGTTCTAGTCTTTGATATGCTACATGACGACCCACTTCCCACTGGAAAAATGTGACTTCGATCCAGTATGGCAACATTAAAGTTGGTGGCCATGTTCTGGAAATAGGTCTAAAAAATATAGTAACTCCATCACCAATTACTCTGGACAATCAGATATTGATTTTTTTTTAATAAAAGTGTGTCCTGAGGCTTTTGACTCACCCTGGAGGTTGGACGAAAGTTTCAGTCTCTGGATATACAAAACTGGTAAAAACAAACCACAAGAACTTTTAACTAGAATTGCAGCAGAGGGTGAGTACAAACACTTTTTCTGCTGCTGTTTAGATTTTTGAAAAACATCATTTTCCATTCACTTCAGTTATGAGCTACTTGTGTTGGTCGTTTACATAAAATAGAGTAAAATAATAATTTGAAGTTTGTGGTTATAAAGTGGCAAAAGATGGAAACGTTAAAAGGCTTGGAAGACGTTTTGCGTTTGTACACCAATAACATGTCCGTCACCTACAACCTTAATATTTGCCCTAAAACATTTTGTTTTTGCTTCAACACACAAATTTCACAAATGGATTAGCCCACTCAGTACCAGGTGTCCATGCAGTGAGACAAGTGGTTATATTCTTATTGCTGATTGGTGGGTTATGCCACAGGCTACAGTTTAAACATTATGTTTAATGTGTGATAAAGATTTTAGTTTCACCTTTTTATTTTAAACACGGCATCATTTGCTTTAATTGGTTTCTTGGCTGTTTGTCTTTTCTAAAGCTGTCCTCTTGATCACACGTTCCACTGGCTCTCTGTTAACGGTGAAGCCCAGAGAAGCAGGTTTTCTATCCAGATGTTCCGCATGCCCCAAGGTTTGCCTCTTTACTTCCACTGCTTGACCAACATCTGTGGACACGATGAAACCTGCACCAAGGTAAAACTGGGCTTCTGACCTGTGAACATACTGGTTCTCTGAAAAGTTAAATAATTGAGTTAAATCCATGTGGGGAAATCTGTAAACGGAACCATAGAATGTTAGATTGTGATTGTGTAAAAAAAACATGAAATGCCAAAAATATCTACTCAAACATGTAAAGTCCAACTACAGTGGGGAGAACAAGTATTTGATACACTGTTGTTTTTTCAGGTTTTCCCACTTACAAAGCTTGTAGATGACTGTAATTTTTATCATAGGTACTCTTCAACTGTGAGTGATGGAATCTAAAACAAAAATCCAGAAAAATGCAATGTATGATTTTTAAATAATTAATTTCCATTTTTTTGTGTGAAATAAGTATTTGATCATCTATCAACCAGTAAGAATTTTGGCTCTCACAGACATGTTAGTTCTTCTTTAAGAAGCCCTCCTGTTCTCCACTCATTACCTGTATTAACTGCACCTGTTTGAACTSGTTACCTGTATAAAAGACACCTGTCCACACACTCAATCAATCAGACTCCAGCATCTCCACAATGCCCAAGACCAGACAGCTGTGTAAGGACATCAGGGATTAAATTGTAGACCTGCACAAGGCTGGGATGGGCTACAGGACAATAGGCAAGCAGCTTGGTGAGAAGGCAACAACAGTTGGTGCAATTATTAGAAAATGGAAGAAATACAAAATAACGGAAAGTCTCCCTCGGTCTGGGGCGCCATGCAAGATCTCACCTCGTGGAGCATCATTGATCTTGAGGAAGGTGAGGAATGAGCCCAGAACTACACGGCAGGACCTGGTCAATGACCTGAATAGAGCTGGGACCACAGTCTCAAAGAAAACAATCAGTAACACTCTACGCCGTCAAGGATTAAAATCCTGCAGTGCACGCAAGGTGCCCTTCCTCAAGCCAACGCATGTCAAAGCCCGTCTGATGTTTGCAAATGACCATCTGAATGATCCAGAGGAGGAATGGGAGAAGGTCATGTGGTCTGATGAGACAAAAATAGAACTTTTTGGTTTAAACTCCACTCGTCATGTTTGGAGGAAGAAGAATGATGAGTACAACCCCAAGAACACCATCCCAACCGTGAAGCATGGCGGTGGAAACATCATTCTTTGGGGATGCTTTTCTGCAAAGGGGACAGGACGACTGCACCATATTGTGGGAAGGATGGATGGGGCCATGTATCGTGAGATTTTGGCCAACAACCTCCTTCCCTCAGTAAGAGCACTGAAGATGGGTCGTGGCTGGGTCTTCCAGCATGATAATGACCCAAAACACACAGCCAGGGCAACTAAAGAGTGGCTCCGTAGGAAACATCTTAAGGTCCTGGAGTGGCCTAGCCAGTCTCCAGAMCTGAATCCAATAGAAAATCTTTGGAGGGAGCTTAAAGTCCGTGTGGCCCAGCGACAGCCCCGAAACCTGAAGGCTCTGGAGGAGGTCTGTATGGAGGAGTGGGCCAAAATCCCTGCTGCAGTGTGTGCAAACCTGGTCAAGAACTACAGGAAACGTCTGATCTCTGTAATTGCAAACAAGGTTTCTGTACCAAATATTAAGTTTCATTTTTCTGGTGTATCAAATACTTATTTCACACAATAAAATGGAAATTAATTATTTAAAAATCAAACATTGTATTTTTCTGGATTTTTGTTTTAGATTCCATCACTCACAGTTGAAGAGTACCTATGATAAAAATTACAGTCATCTACAAGCTTTGCAAGTGGGAAAACCTGAAAAATCAACAGTATATCAAATACTTGTTCTCCCCACTGTATTTGTGACCATGGTTTGACTAAAATCCCATTGATCTCTATTATGTTTTCAGTATTTCTTTTGCAAATGTTGCCCATGTTGTGCATTGTATTGTTGCTACAAATCATAATCCTAATTGAGTTCTTATTGAGTCACATTTATGCTGCAAAATTTACATGTTTTAAACATGCCAGATGCATGCTGTTTTGAACACAATAGTAACACAATAGTAAAAAGGCTTAAACATGCATTGGCAATAATAATATTATTAATAATAATAATAATAATGCCTAAATAAAGCAGTATAATATTATGCATATATATAACTAATTAAAAATATTGCCCCTATTACACTTATTTTTGTTTGAAGCAGAACTGCAGCAGCCATCAGCGCTCCAGAAGGTCAGTCAGCCAGATGGAGGGAAAGGGGAAACAAGCAGCTGTGGTGTCAGCTGGTCCACTGACAGTCAACATGAGGGTGAAGTCAGTCCGTCCATCTCACTGTGAGTTCATCTCAGAGTTCAACAATTTTAGACAAACTGACTAATAAATACTAATACTGACATACAGGCCAATAATGTTTATCATTTCTTTTCAGGGACTGAACACACAAACATGATTGTGATTGTTGTCACATCTGTAAGCTTCTTGGGGCTGACTGTGCTCTCTCTGTGTGCTGTAAAGGCAGTACTAAAGTACTATGAGCAGTTACAGCTGGAATAAACTTTAGAAAAGTGTCTGGGAGTGGTGTTTTATTTATTTAAAGGGACCATGCGCATTAATCAGCATGTAAATAATCTAAATGTGCTGGAGTTGGTGGCACAATGGCTCATTTTCATCTGATGTCCTGAGCAAGAAAAAAAAAGGTTTTATAAAACAAAAGATAAAGGGTGAGTCAAAAGTTTCAAGACACTTTTATTTCCAAAGCGAAAATTGAATATCTGAATACCCCAGCAGGTAATATGTGAGAGGGGATATCTTTAGGTCAATGAGGGATATCACTTATATCATTGCTTTAGGTGTCATGAACATGGTCTCCATCTTGAAAGTTGCCAAATTAGATTACAATCAAATTCTTTCAAAGGGAATGGAGTCATGTAGCATAAGGCAGATTTGTCTGATGAATTGATTGCAGCAATCCAAGGGCTATTTTGGGGGAGGGGCCACAGGGGCATTGGCCCCAGCTGAAATCTGATTGGCCCCTGTCATGTCACTCGTCTGTCCTTTACCTGGGAGTGAAGATGGTGTGTGCAGTTCCATGTTCAAACACAAGGTGCGCTAATGAGTCAAAGTCCAGAATGAATCAAGCTTACAGAATTCTTAAGAAAATTAGAACAATCCTGCAAAAAATAGTCTTTCAACTGACAAATGATGGCTGGATTGTCTCATGTGTGTTACAGAATATTGTATCTATGTTCAGTAAAATATATGAAAAACTGGTAAGGAAAATTTACTGTGCAAGCTTTTTTTGGTACCACTTTACTATAAGGCTCCTCTTATAGATGGCTTATAAAAAGTTTATAGATAGTTTATTAATTCATTTTTAAACACTTTAAAAATCATTAATAAATGTTTATTATGCAATAATTAATGAGAGAGACAAAACTGTCCAGTTTCTTACCAAATACTGAGACAAATCTGTTCACGTATATATTACATCTAAAGGTGCTATATATTAAACATTTCAGACTAGGTTACTACAATGTAAGTATAATAATGATAAATACATAGTTTGACATATTCTACTGTTACTGCAGTATAATATACATAGTGAAACTTATTGCAAAGTGTAATACAGTACACTATTAATGACGATCATTTATAAATGCCAAAAGTTTTAAAACTTTGTGTTGATTATCAATATTTGAAATTATTGTTCAAACATGTAATTACTGTCAACAATGATTATGGATCAAAGTAAAAAAATGTCATACCAAATAATCCCACTCCATCCAAAATATATTTATAATGCAGTAATACAGTACAGTATTATATGTTAAAATATGTGTTTCCTAATCATTGTGCTTACAAGGTAGTAAACTAGTCTGAAATGTTTAATACACAAACAGATTTGGCTCAGTATTTGGAAAGAAACCGGACAGTTTAGTCTCTATTTTGTTTTACTTAATGCATAATAAACACTGAGCCTTATTATAAAGTGGTTTCCTTTTTTTAAAATAAGTGTTTGAACATGTATGACTGGTAAAATGTATACACCTTACCAAAACTGGGGATTTGTGTGAAAGGATGTTGAACAAAGACTTGGCCCCTCTATGAGTGTTGTGGCCCCTTACTCAGAAAAATCCTAGATCCGTCCCTGCTGCAACCAGATGAGGAAATCTCATTTCAGAATTATCAACAAAGTTCAGTTTTTTTTTTTTTGTTACATGTGTAACTCCATCTGCCCACATCTTTAGTTATTTGCAGCAGATATGTTTTACTGTTTGTTGTTATTAACGCACGTGGTGGAGCGGCATCGGCGACGCGCAGATTTGTTTGCGTCACTTCCGCTTTCGCTCAGCAATGGCGTCCTCCACGAAGGGAGACGGCGTGAGCGATGCACAACCAGAGAAATACTCTAAAAAGACGAAAAACCAAGGTGAGTTTGAAACGTTACAGACACGAAGAACGTTTCACGACGCATAGCGCGTCTTAGTAAATAAAATGATCTTTGTTTTACTCGTGTTGACATGCCGGAAGTTACGAGGCGTGCACAAGTTAGCATGGACAGTTCACAGTTCATTCACATCTGCTTCACGTTGAGTTAATATTTTCTTATTCAGTACAACAGGCCTTGTGAAATTTAAAAGAAAAAAAAACACGCGTTTAAGTTATTTGTATAACATCTGGCCAAAGCTCTTTGAAAGGTTCCTCCTGTAATGCAGCAAACGACTCCGTCTCTTCTTTTTGACGCGTTGTTGCGGTTGTTAATGTTAAAGTGTCAAACTTTGTTATGCAGTGGATGAATCTGAACTCCTGACTGTTCCTGATGGATGGAAGGAACCAAAGTTTACTAAGGAGGACAACCCCCGCGGCCTGCTGGAGGAGAGCAGCTTCGCCACACTTTTTCCTAAATACAGAGAAGCCTACTTGAAGGAGTGCTGGCCGCTGGTGGAGAAGGCTTTAGAAGAGCTGGTATGTAGAGAGTCAGGAAGAGTGTCTGCATGGACAAAAAACACTGATTACAAAAAGACTTGCTGATGGTTTAACTCTACTATCACCCTGATTATATCAGGGTTTGCTGTCTGAACAAACTGTCTAGTATAATATAAAATACGGTTGATGTTTTTGCATTGCAAGGTCGGGACCTGGTCGGTTCGGTCCACGTTGATTTTGTATATGAGCAGGATTTACATAGCAAGAACCCTCAAAGTTCATGTGATGTCATTAATTGCGACACCCAACAATAGAAAGCATGGAGCGCCTACTATAGTTTATCATTCTTTCTCTCATCAGAAATAGAGCCAGACAAGGTTGTGTGCTGCTAGAAGAATCAAAGCAGTACACTCATGATCAAAATCTTAAGACCAGTCAAAAAAGTGTAAGAATTTTCATTTTGCACTATTGGATCTTAAGAAGGTTCTAAGTAGAGCTTCACAATGTTAAAAGAAGAAATCAGTGCAAGAGACAAGAACTTTTGAGCAGGGAATTTTCTGAAACTGCATTTTCAAACATGATTTTTTCAGCTGATCAAAAGTTTAAGCCCATAGTCTTTAAAAGCCAAAAGC